AAATTATTTAAATAATATTGTTACAATTTCAAAAGTGACCAATTTAATTTCCCTCAATAAAGAAATTTAACTGAATAACCCTCGACATTTAACTGAATAACCCTTTAGATAAAAAAATATTTTTTTTCACATATCTCACAAAAACACATTTTTAGTCAATCTTCTCCAACCGCTCGAGCTTAAAATATTGTGTTTATGTAACAGACAGATAATCTATTTTATTGGATTACCTGTAACGCTCGCCGAAAACAACTGTAGCATGTCTCATTCGGGCTAGAAAGACTGCTAGTGGATGGTGACAAACTAAATATCGGATCGATCCAATAACTCTTGCTTTTACATTTTTGTTGGCTATTTCTGAAACAAGAAATCATGACAGCTGTGACCTACATGCTACGATACTCGCAAGTAAAACGTAGAAATTGTGCAAAAATAAGAATACAATTATTTCAATCAATCTTTTCAACATTGTGATAATGCACGATCACAATTTAAATAATTAGCGATTATTGCATATATATCAAAAAATTCACCTTTTGGAGGATGATGGATATTTCTGAGTGGTGTCATCATCTCGCTTTTCGTTACCGTCTGATACACCCGAGTGCTTTGTTCCATCCGATGCCGCGCTCATGCAATATGATTTGGGCCAAGGTATTAAAACATCTTGCGATTCGAACTACGAATAAATAATAATGGAAAAGTTTAATCAATCCAAATAGCTATAAAAAAATAAATCGTCGAAAGAAGATTTAAAAGAGGATAGATTCTTACTTACTTTTCTATGCTTTTGTTCCATAGCCCAAACGGATATAACGAGTCGACCTCCGATCCTGAGAATCCGCGCCAACTCCTTCAACGCGTGTACCCTCCTTTCCGTGGTGGCAAAGTGGTGCACCACTGCGATCGACAGCACTGCATCGAAGCTCTCTTCTCGAAATGGTAGAGCCAAATTATCGCAGATCAGAACCTTATAAGAGACATATTTAGATATTATATTAATCCGCGAAATTAATTTAACTTGCGCAAAAATATATATAATATTTCGAGACATCAATTAATAAAGTTTATAATTATTATAATTTAAGGATGAGAAACTTCTGATTGCTATATGTACCTCGTTTTCCTTCTCGCGCGCGATGTCCGTGAAGCGCTTGCATCGGTCCACCCCTATCTTAAAGACGCTGTGATTTACGCTGAGATATTTGCCGTTGCCGCAACCTGAATAATGCAAACATAAAATTGTCTACGTGAATGCATAGGTGTAATATAAAACGTGAAAACGGGCAGAATACAAACTCTGTTTACTATGCAACTCACGCGATAAATTTTTCGCGGGAATTGCATAATGACAGACGTTCGCAACATGACCAATGAAAATTACTTATTATTAGTAAAAAAAAAAAGGAAATTTTACGTGTAAAAAATATTTTCAACTGACCGATGTCGCAGACGAGAGCACCCGGTTCAAGTTCCTGAAGAAACTGATATACTCGTGGCCAGTGTTTACTTTGTGTGGTCTTCTCGGCACATTGTTCGTATACTTCGTGAACGTAGGCTTGCTCTAAGGCCACCGAGCGAGCTGCATGCTCTCCGTCGCTCTCAGACATCCCTCTCGCTAAGGTGATTTATCCTCGTCCACATGTGCGCTCACACGATGCTGCACAGAAATTTTTATCTCCCTAAATAAAGAAATATCGGAAAAGTCATTTTAACGATTAAATCGGGAAAAAGATTCGCCAGGATATCGGAAAATATTTAGGAGGTATTTAGGAAGATACAGACTTCCCTTTAGCCGCATCAGATTCCGTGTTATCTTGTTGATTTTTAGGACTACAGTATGTATAGCCTGTTGCATCAAGACTATCGAATAACTCGACGAATAACTTCACCTGTCCTACGTTACGTTTACTTGGCAATAATGCACATCGTCCTTGGCTCACAGACCGATTTCGCAAGGCGGCAGACATCCGCAATAGAACAACTCCTGCAGCAATTTGAGTATTAGCTTATCGGGTCTCTGCTTCTCCGCGTTCTCCGTCTTTTTCGGGCGATCCGCGCGATATCGCAAACGGGGCACCGTGTAGGCGCGACACCATCGCAAAAAATCCCCGGTATCCTCCGTGCGGATGAACGTCACGATCGCCCAGAGCGTACAGAGATTCCGAGATTTCTTTTTGGTCTGCAGATAGAGTTGGCAAACATCCAGAAACGTCATGAGATCGACGACGCTC